CAGAATAATTCCATTTTTTGGGGCCGTTTCCATTTCCCTGCTCTCTCCTCTGTCCCAGGGCAGGCAGGACCCAGCCAGGATCCAACAGCAGAAATGGGAATTTTGGGAGAAGCCAGCAAAGACACAAACACAACTCCAGAGTGACAGAAAACTCATTAATTCATCCGTTAATTGCAGGCAAACCTGCGCCTCGAGACCAGGCTAATTGCAGTTTGTAGTAGGCATGCAATAGTGATTACACTGCTATATATAGTTGTGGTGATTTTTGTTTTTATTTCTTCCTTTCTTCTCTTTTATTCCTGTTTTTTAAAGGGTTTTAGTGCCCTGCAAAACCCACAGCAACCAAAGAGAACCCTTGTAAAAAATTGTTTCTTTCTGATCATTTATTCCCCATCTAATTTGATTTTTTGTAGAATTTATTCCCCATTTTTTTTTAATTTTAGTGCCCTGCAAAAACTATATTAACTAAAGAGAACCTTTATTTTATTATTAATTCTTTCTTATAATTTTTATTCCCAATTTTAGGGTTTTAGTGCCCTGCAAATCCACATCAACTAAAGAGAACTTTAAAAAAAAAAATATTTTTCCTATCATTAATTCCCCATTTTTTAGTTTTTTAGTGCCCTGCAAAGCCACATCAACTAAAGAAAACAAATTTTTAAAAATTATTTCTTTCTCCTCATTTATTCCCCATTTTTAAAGGGTTTTAGTGCCCTGCAAAACCCACATCACCTATTTTTTAAATTCTTTTTTTCTTATAATTTATTCCCAATTTTAGGGTTTTAGTGCCCTGCAAAGCCACATCAACTAAAGAGAACTTTTAAAAAAAATTATTTTTCTTATTTTCTATTCCCCATTTTTAAAGGGTTTTAGTGCCCTGCAAAACCCACAGCAACCAAAGAGAACCTTTGTAAAAAATTGTTTCTTTCTGATCATTTATTCGCCATCTAATTTGATTTTTTGTAGAATTTATTCCCCATTTTTTAAAGGGTTTTAGTGCCCTGCAAAACCCACAGCAACTAAACAGAACCTATTTTTTAAATTATTTTTTTCTTATAATTTATTCCCAATTTTGGGGTTTTAGTGCCCTGCAAAACCACATCAACTAAAGAAAACCAATTTTTAAAAATTATTTCTTTCTCCTCATTTATTCCCCATTTTTAAAAGGTTTTAGTGCCCTGCAAAACCCACATCACCTATTTTTTAAATTATTTTTTTCTTATAATTTATTCCCAATTTTAGGGTTTTAGTGCCCTGCAAAGCCACATCAATGAAAGAGAACTTTATTTAAAAAAAAATTATTTTTCTTATCATTAATTCCCCATTTTTTAGTTTTTTAGTGCCCTGCAAAACCCACAGCAACCAAAGAGAACCCTTGGAAAAAATTATTTCTTTCTGATCATTTATTCCCCATCTAATTTGATTTTTTGTAGAATTTATTCCCCATTTTTAAAGGATTTTAGTGCCCTGCAAAAACCACATCAACTAAAGAAAACCAATTTTTAAAAATTATTTCTTTCTCCTCATTTATTCCCCATTTATTAAAGGGTTTTAGTGCCCTGCAAAACCCACATCACCTATTTTTTAAATTTTTTTTTCTTATCATTAATTCCCCATTTTTTAGTTTTTTAGTGCCTTGCAAAACCACATCAACTAAAGAAAACCAATTTTTAAAAATTATTTCTTTCTCCTCATTTATTCCTGTTTATTAAAGGGTTTTAGTGCCCTGCAAAACCACATCAACTAAAGAGAATTTAAAAAAAAATTATTTCTTTCTTATCATTAATTCCCCATTTTTTAGTATTTTAGTACCCAGCAAAAACCGCATTAACTAAAGAGAACTTTTATTTTTTAAATGATTTCTTATCATTTACTCCCCATTTTTTAGTTTTTTAGTGCCTTGCAAAACCACATTAACTAAAGAGAATTTTTAAAAATTATTTCTTCTTTATAATTGATTCCCCATTTTTTTGCAGAATTCATTCCCCATTTTTTAAAACCCTTTACTTGAACTAAAGAGAACTTTTGTCTTCCTTATAATTTATTCCCCATTTTTTTGGTAGAATTTATTCCCCAATTTATTTATTTA